TGGGCCAATTTTATATTTCTATTAATGTGCATGTTAACATGTCAATATGAATATTCACATTGTCAACGGGCCGGGCCGGGCCTACCCGTGCCGCGGGCGAGCTTCAGGTAGTGGGAAAATTTTACACTCCTATCAATGTTAATATTAACATGTCAATGTGAATATTCATATTGTCACGGGTCAGGCCAAGCCCGCCTCGGGCTGCGGTCGGGCTTCGGGCCGCCCATGGGCCGCTGGCCAATTTTATAGTTTTATCAATGTGAATGTTAACATGTCAATGTGAATATTCACATTGTCAACAGGCCGGGCCAGGCCCGTCCTGGGCCGCGCCACGGGGCGTAGGCGAGTTTCGGGCAGCTACAGGGCGCAGGCTAATTTTACACTCCTATCAATGTGAATGTTAACATTTCAATGTGAATATTCACATTGTCAACGGACCGGGCCAGGCCCGCCCTGGGCCGCGGGCGGGCTTTTGGCCGCCCATGGGCCGCGGGCCAATTTTGTACTTTTATCAATGTGAATGTTAACATGTCGACGTGAATATTCACATTGTCAACGTACCGAATCGGGCCCGCCCTGGGCCGCTATCAATGTTAATGTTAACATGTCAATGTGAATATTCACATTGTCACTGGTCGGGCCAAGCCCGCCTCAGGCTGCGGTCGGGTTTCGGGCCGCCCACGGGCCGCTGGCCAATTTTATACTCTTATCAATGTGAATGTTAACATGTCAATATGAATATTCACATTGTCAACAGGCCGGGCCCGGCCCGTCCCGGGCCGAGCCATAAGTCGTGGGCGGGCTTCAGGCAGCCACGGGGCGCGGGCTAATTTTACACTCTTATCAATGTGAATGTTAACATGTCAATGTGAATATTCACATTGTCAACGGGCCGGGCTGGGCTCGCCTCAAGCAGCGGGCGGGCTTTTGGTTGCCTATGGGCCGTGGGCCAATTTTATACTCTTATCAATGTGAATGTTAACATTGTCAACGGGCCGAACCGGGCCCGTCCCGGGCTGCTATCAATGTTAATGTTAACATGTCAATGTGAATATTCACATTGTCGCGGGTCGAGCCAAGCTCACCTCGGGCCGTGGGTGGGCTTCGGGCCGCTCACGGGCCTTGGGCCAATTTTATACTTTTATCAATGTGAATGTTAACATGTCAATGTGAATATTCATATTGTCAACGGGTCGGACCGGGCCCACCCCAAGCCGTCCGTGGGCCGCGGGCGGGTTTCGCGCCACCACGGGACGCGGGCCAATTTTACACTTCTATTAGTGTGAATGTTAACATGTCAATGTGAATATTCACATTGTCAACGGGCCGGGCCCGCCTCGGCTCGCAGGCGGGTTTCGGGCTGCCCACGGGCCAATTTTACATTCCTACCAATGTAAATTTTAAAATATGAATGTTCACATCATAAAATTACTAACCGTTCAAAAAATATTTATAAGGGTATCAAAATTAAATATAAGGGTATAAGTGTCCAAGAAAATAGTGTCAATCAAGAAAAGGGACTTTATGGAATAAAACTATACATACATGAGACTAAATGAGTTAAAATATTCATTCATGGACTTATTAGGTTAAAACACTTTTAAATGAGATTTATTAATAAAAATCTCATTTATTAATGTATATTATTTCATACAAAATGAATTAACATTTTAAAACTCCTTTAATACACATTAATAAAATTCATAAATGAATAAAATACTTTTTCTATACAATTGGAATTCTCTCTCAATTTTTGTGCTAAAGAAGATCACTTTGAATAACATAGGCCTCGTTTGGGAAGTGGCTATTTTAGAAATTTTTTTGGCTTTTTAGCTATTTTAGTAGGCTATTTTAGTTTTTGTGTTTGGGAAGATGAGATTTATTTTTATTTGAGTTGTTGTATTGAAAAATGTGTTAAAATAATGTTTGAGGTTAAAATGACAAATTTGTCCCTAATCTCATTTTTTTCAAAATTAGTGTAAAGGGGCAAAAGTGTCATTTTGTACCGATGGAACAGCCATCAAGTGACAGGGGCGGGCTGCAGAGCTATTTTCTATAGGCTGTAGAGCTATTTTCTTTCTTTTTTTTTTTTTTTTATAGGTCTATCAATGATTTAGGCCAAGTTTGGGAAGACCAAATAAGTGCACTTTTTGACTTTTTTTGTATTATGTGTAGAAAAAATAGAGAAGAGATGTTGATTGATATGACCCAAAAAAGATAAAAAGATGAAATAAATACACTTTTTTTGGTTAGGCAAACTTGACCTTAGTTACAGTGGTAGGCTAAATGACTTTTTCTCATCCTGAGACTATAATAGCCTACTTGACTTCCCAAATACCGCCATAAAGAGCACTAAGCCATTTGAAAATATTTGAAGTGGGAGGTTGACTTTAGAGTCCCAAAGTTATATTAACTTTTTTATTTTCAAACAATTAGCTTTAGTTCGTGGCCAGATATATTGCTTGCATTAAATGTACCTAAGATAAGTGAAACAATAAACGAAGTAAATGAAATCCTAAATCCATCATGCTGCCTAGATTAGCCAGTAGATCAAAACTTGCATTTGCTTCCCATGACTCTGGTTAATTTTTAAAATCTCCAGCTCATTCAATAGGAACCTGCAGTAAAAAATCGGGTTTGTTTGGTTTGTTTTTGGAAGAGTTGTTTTTGAAAAAAATTTAGGAGAGTTGTTTTAGCAATTTTTTTGATTTGTTTGGTTATATATTTTGAGAGAGAAAATTTTTGTGGGAGTTTAAGATGATTTGATAGTTTAGAAGAATTGAGTAGATGCGTGTGAGAAAAAAAGTGATTGATTGATGTATAGGAGAGAGAAAGTGATTTTGGAATTTTTTTTTTAAGAAAAACTCATACCAAACAATTTTTGAAATTTTTTTTTCTAAAATTCACGTCCGAAACTCAAACCAAACAAGCCCCATATTTTTAAGCTTAGAATTCAATTTGTTATTATCGTGAACAGTGTCCATAACCATTTTTGCATCCAGTTTCACAGTGAGTTTTCTGATGTTCGCTTCAGTTTCTAGCCTAAGCCAATCTTACAATGGATACTTAAGTATCATCTCACTCACTGTCTCTCTTTTTCTCACTCTCTTCTCATTTCTGCACACACCGATCGATCACTCTCTTTCTCACAGCCGATCTACTTGGTGGGCTTCGGGCCGCTCACGGGCCTTGGGCCAATTTTATACTCTTATCAATGTGAATGTTAACATGTCAATGTGAATATTCACATTGTCAACGGGTCGGACCGGGCCCACCCCAAGCCGCCCATGGGCCGCGGGCGGGTTTCGCGCCACCACGGGACGCGGGCCAATTTTACACTTCTATTAGTATGAATGTTAACATGTCAATGTGAATATTCACATTGTCAACGGGCCGGGCCCGCCCCGGCTCGCAGGCGGGTTTCGGGCCGCCCACAGGCCAATTTTACATTCCTACCAATGTAAATTTTAAAATATGAATGTTCACATCATAAAATTACTAACCGTTCAAAAAATATTTATAAGGGTATCAAAATTAAATATAAGGGCATAAGTGTCCAAGAAAATAGTGTAAATCAAGAAAAGGGACTTTATGGAATAAAACTATACATACATGGGACTAAATGAGTTAAAAAATTCATTCATGAACTTATTAGGTTAAAACACTTTTAAATGAGATTTATTAATAAAAATCTCATTTATTAATGTATATTATTTCATACAAAATTAATAAAAATCTCATTTATTAATGTATATTATTTCATACAAAATGAATTAACATTTTAAAACTCCTTTAATACACATTAATAAAATTCATAAATGAATAAATTACTTTTTCTATACAATTCATAAATGAATAAAATACTTTTTCTATACAATTGGAAATCTCTCTCAATTTTTGTGCTAAAGAAGATCACTTTGAATAACATAGGCCTCGTTTGGGAAGTGATTATTTTAGAGGTTTTTTTGACTTTTTAATTATTTTAGTAGGTTATTTTAATTTTTGTATTTGAAAAGATGAGATTTATTTTTATTTGAGTTGTTGTATTGAAAAATGTGTTGAAATAATGTTTGAGGTTAAAATGATAAATTTGTTCCTAATCTCATTTTTTTCAAAGTTAGTGTAAAGGGACAAAAGTGTCATTTTGTACCGATAGAACAGCCATCAAGTGATAGGGACGGGCTACAGAGCTATTTTCTATAGGCTGCAGAGCTATTTTTTTTTTTTTTTTTTTTTTTTTTTTTTTTTTTAAGTATATCAATGATTTAGTTACAGTGGTAAGCTAAATAACTTTTTTTCATCCTGAGACTATAATAGCCTACTTGACTTCCCAAATACCGCCATAAAGAGCACTAGCCATTTGAAAATATTTGAAGTGGGAGGTTGACTTTAGAGTCCCAAAGTTATATTAACTTTTTTATTTTCAAACAATTAGCTTTAGTTCGTGGCCAGATATATTGCTTGCATTAAATGTACCTAAGATAAGTGAAACAATAAACGAAGTAAATGAAATCCTAAATCCATCATGCTGCCTAGATTAGCCAGTAGATCAAAACTTGCATTTGCTTCCCATGACTCTGGTTAATTTTTAAAATCTCCAGCTCATTCAATAGGAACCTGCAGTAAAAAATCGGGTTTGTTTGGTTTGTTTTTGGAAGAGTTGTTTTTGAAAAAAATTTAGGAGAGTTGTTTTAGCAATTTTTTTGATTTGTTTGGTTATATATTTTGAGAGAGAAAATTTTTGTGGGAGTTTAAGATGATTTGATAGTTTAGAAGAATTGAGTAGATGCGTGTGAGAAAAAAAGTGATTGATTGATGTATAGGAGAGAGAAAGTGATTTTGGAATTTTTTTTTTAAGAAAAACTCATACCAAACAATTTTTGAAATTTTTTTTTCTAAAATTCACGTCCGAAACTCAAACCAAACAAGCCCCATATTTTTAAGCTTAGAATTCAATTTGTTATTATCGTGAACAGTGTCCATAACCATTTTTGCATCCAGTTTCACAGTGAGTTTTCTGATGTTCGCTTCAGTTTCTAGCCTATGCCAACCTTACAATGGATACTTAAGTCTCATCTCACTCACTGTCTCTCTTTTTCTCACTCTCTTCTCATTTCTGCACACACCGATCGATCACTCTCTTTCTCACAGCCGATCTACTTCATTCACAGGTGAACTCTCTCTCTCAATCTCTGTCTCTCTCTCTCTCCCGATCGTTGATTTTTTGTGGATGAACAACTTCACTGATTTTTTTCATCTCCGATCTACTTCACAGGTGATCTCTGATTTTTTTCATCATCGCACAGCCGATTTTTTTCATCGCACAGCCGATCACTCTCTTTCTCATCTCATCGCACCGATCATCATCGCACAGCCGATCTGCTTCACAGGTGAACTCTCTCTCAATCTCTGTCTCTCTCTCTCTGCCGATCGTTGATTTTTTGTGGATGAACAACGGATCTGATTTTTTTCATCTCTGATTTTTTCATCGCACAGCCGATCTACTTCGTAGGTGATCTCTGATTTTTTTCATCATTGCACAGCCGATCTACTTCACAGGTGATCTCTCATCTCTGATTTTTTGTGGACGAACAGATCTTATTTTTTGTGGACCAAAACAGATATGATTTTTTGTGGACCAAAACAGATTTGATGGGATCTGATTTTTTGAATCTGCCTGTTTGAATGTGTTTGTTTGAATGTGTTTGTTTTATTTAATTTTTGGAATTCAGATTATTTAATCTGTCTGTGTCTTAGTTGAATCTGTTTGTTTGATTTAATCAATCAGTAGAATCTGTTTATTCTGTTGCTGATGTATAATTGTCTCGTCTGAATTTTTTCTCATTATACATTCCATCTGCATCCAATGCTAATGTGCTTCCTTCTGAATATACTTTGGCTGGAGAAAGGAACAAAAGATATTAAACTGTGTGAACATTTTGTACATCCTCCACGATTACTATGCTGAATCATATACCAGACAATATAGTCAAAATGGTTTTTCTCTGTGGGAACATGTGGAGAGGTGTTGGGTATGGTGAGAGTGTTGTTGCAGTGCTTCTTCGAAGGTGGGTTGGTGAAGGTGAAACAGAGAAGATGATGATGAGAAGAAACGAGGGGAGAGATGGAAATGAAAATTGAAGTGAGAGAGAGGAGAAGGGCGTGAGCGAAGGAGATGTAAAATTGCTCTCATTGACTGACACTCTGTTTTTGCATCTCAGTTGAGTCTCGAATCTATAACTTGCAGTAATGATTCCAAACATTTTCCTATAGCCTTGGCTTCCAATTCCAACGTCCAAATTTGGAACAAACAACACTTGACATACTTGCACTTCTTTTTCTCAAGCGAAATTACAAATGGTTTTGATTTATTTTGGAGAGCCTTCAATCTTTACCATAAAAAAAATTAACTTGATTTCATAATTTTAATATCTTTATTTTATTATAATTTTTTTTCTAAAAAATTGATTGGTTTATTTGAAAAATATATGATACTGGATTGAACTAATTTTTTTCATAAATTATATAAATTGGTGGCTTTACAAAATGAATAATTTGAATTATCAAAACAGGACCTGTGATGAATTCTACAAACGACTAAGAAAGGCTTAAGCAGCGAATCAGAATAATCGTCTGGTAGATTCGCCAAAAAAAAGAAAGAAAGTATAGTTCGTAGTCTCCTTTGAGGCCTTACGGCGGAGATATCAACCCGGGACACAGAGAGGAGGGGAGAGAGTGTTTTTGTCTTTTTGACTCTAATCTCACTCGAAAATTTTCTCATTTATTTTCCAATTTGCTCGATTTGATTGAGATCTGTGAAAGGTAATTGCTTCTTTTTTTTTCCCTGTATAATCTTTGTAGATTTTGATCTATATTTCTTCAAATTTGTATCATAAATGTGATTTTTGTATATTTGTACATTCGGATTTATGATTATCGTTTATCAGTTTGTTCTTATCGATTTTTTGTTTTGAATTGCACATTTTGATGTGATTTTTTTCTTTTTCTTTTCTATTTATTGGATTTGTGAAGTTTAACTTTTCTGCTAGTTATATAATCTATATTTACAGTTTGCTGATATGGTTGTTGTCGATGCATATGATGATGATTTTGAGGTTTATAGTTTTGAAGTTTTAGATTTTTCTTCAAGACAAACACAGATTAATGTCGTTACCTAAGTTTGATTATTAATAAATATAGAATTGAACTATCAAAGTAGGTTGGCTGGAGTGGAGTAGTGTTTTTTGCGTATTATTATATTATATATCAATACCTACAAAATTTAAAGGAAAATTTTATACAATAAGGTGAATGATGCTTTATGGGACAAAAAAATATATATATATTTCCCATTATAATGAAAAACCTATTGCAAAGTCTACTATGTATGCCCAATGCCATAATAATTGCTCCCTTTTATTTGTATTCAAATTTTAGTGCTTTGCTTCTCTATTACTCATGGATTGCCCAAGTCAAATTAAGCTTTGATGGAAATATTTTAGATGCCCTTTGACCGTGCGACTGGATTACATGGGACTATTAGTCTCGACCATCTCGTGATTAATAATTATGGGATCATCAATCTCATAGAATTATGTATCATATCTCACGTTTAGAATACCTTTGAATTAGGAAGAAGATTAGTAATCTCACGTTTATATGGAATCACTTGGACTACATGGAGTAATAACCATAGTTTGAGGATATTTTGGTTAAAAACCCCCTAATCTGGATCTCTTTGAACCTCCCATTTTGTATCTCACCCCTCCATTGGACTCAGTAGTCCAAATATGGAGATATACAGTTTGAGGAACTGTTAATCTTAAGGCTCACTTTTGATCCAAACGTCAGATTTGGATTGGCACGACACATATTTTGCTTGACATGGCAACATCTCTCTCCTTGTGACTAGATGCATGCGTACTCTACTACTGCTTGTGTGGTAATTCGTCAACAACAAAGAGGAGTTTTTTTTTTTTTCCTTTTAAAGAATTTTAAGGCAGAAATGTTACTCAAATTAAAGCCCTAGGTAATTCTCTCTCTAGCAGCCCTCCAATAAGCACCTTTGGTAATTCTCTCTTTCTGTCTCTTATCGGGTTTTCACTTTTCTGTTTAATGTGGTGTTGCAGATTTGCCTTTTTGAGTAGCCATGTGAATGACTTTATAAGGTTTCATAGCTTGGCTTAGTTAGGGGGCATAAACTAATTTGGAACCAAATATGGTCCTCGACCAAGGCTTTTTTTGTAGGACTCTTTGTTTCACCATCAATTGTTTCCCAAGCAGCTTTGGACATTTCCCTTCTCTTTTTGTATCTGTATGTGTGTGTGTGTACATGTATGTACCTAGACATATAGAACAAGATTTATATATATGTGTGTTAAAATTGCCTCTCGAATAACCGAACGGAACAAGGATACACAGTCGCCGTTCGGTCCAGACAGATGTACAAACTAAAGAGAGAGAGAAAGAATCTCTCTGACTCTCTCTGAATCAGTTTGAGGGTAAGGAACTGTTACCTTTCTCTGTTCCTCTGTTAAATTGTTTCGGATATAAGTATAATATTTTTTTTCTTATTATATTTGTTATATTTATTTTCATTAAATTTATTTTTAATCAATTTTAAAGGCTTTTTACACATTCAATATCAAAATTGTTTATACCTACACTATATGCATCATTGAGAAATGTATAGGTTGGACTGGCTAGTACTTTAGTACTGTGATGGTAATTTATGGTAATGGAGCTTGTTGGAGTCTTTGCCATGAGCCTTTTAGGTCATGTACAGCCTTGACTCCTATTTTTATTGGTAGTAAAGTTATTCTGTTTTTTTTTTTTTTCCTTTTTTTGGTCCTGTTCTGGTTTTTCTTGTACCATCAGTTTCAGTTTTTTTTTTTTTTTCCCTTTTTTGATTGTTTGTAACATTTGTACATCTGAGGTTCATTTTGTGTTTTTACAATAATTTAAACTGATTGAATAATATTCTTTAGTTCAAGTGGTTAATACATCAATTTTTTGACAAATAAGTTCATTTTTGTGATTTTTTATATCTAAATTCTAATTAATGACATGGTAGCTACATATGTGCTGATTGCATGTATAGTCCAGCCCACTTTTGTGTCCAAACGTGGTTTTCAGGATTGGCCACGATACATAATCCAATCTCATGACCCTATCCCCTTGAACAAAAACAGCCTTTGTGTTTATATGAATATTTAAGTGGAGTTGAGTTGATAACAAACTTGTAGTATAGTGGTGGTGAGTATTCATGTATCATGCAAATGACTTGGGTTCAATTAGTGCTATTGAAAGCGATAAGCGCACCAAGGCGCCAAGGGCTCTTGAGGCCTTAGGCCTTAGGCGCAAGGCGCAAGGCGAGGCGCGGGCTTTATCGAAGTAAGGCGCACCATGGCAAGTTAAAATAATATAATTTAATATGGGACATATAAACAAATAACTAACTAGTATAACATAAACAAAATGCAATATTGAACATTTTAAAAAATAAATACCAACAAATATCGCAATTTAACATAGACAAATGAGTATAAGCATGCATTTCAAAACATAAAATGTGAATATCCATAATCTAAAGGTCAACTAATAACAATATTTCAAGTTTAAGCATGCATTTCAAAACATCAACAAATTAAACCAACAAGAAAAAAAAAAAAAAAGCCCTCAAGGCTTGCGCCTTGGGCTTAAATGCGCCTAACTCGAGGCGTGCGCTTTAATCGCGCCTTAGTGAAATCGCCTCGCCTTGACCACTGCAAGGCGGAAAGGGTGGGCATGGCTGGGCTTTGCGCCTAGGCGCGCTTTTAATAACACTGGGTTCAATCCATGACGACGGCGTTATCATTTTTATATTTTTTTTACATGGCAACATGACTCTGCACGTGACTGGATGTGCTCTATTACTGCTTGTGATACAAATGATTTTGTTGAACAACAAATAGGTTTTTGGCCTTTTCAATTATTTTTAAGCAAAAATGTCGCGCAACTTAAAAGTGTAGGTAATTCTCTCTGTAGCAGCTCCTCCAGTAAGGCCCTTTGTTTATTCTCTCTCTCTCTCTCTCTCACGCCCACTCCGGGTTTTCTCTATTCTGTTTTATGTGGTATCCTATGAAGCACGAATACTCCAAAAATGGTTTCGTACGAGTACCGGGTACTTACTGGGTGTGGGTATGCGTACCGGTACGGAAGTACGCATACCAGGTACGCCGAATACATGCCGGGTACGGCAAATACATTTTGGTATGGCGAGGTGATTTTTTTTTTTTTTTGTTGTTGCAGCTGTTAAAATTTATTGCAGCATTTATTATTCTTTTTTCAATTTTGAAAATATTAAATAATTTATTTCCAACACCCTTTATCCGTGAGTCATGGTTTTACTCTATTTTGCATCCTGTTTTAGACAATCAAAAAAGAAAAAGAAAGTATTATATAACTTTTTAGACAAATTATTCTCTTTTCAGTTTTGATATTGAAACTTTAATTTGTATGTTGGATGTTTAGCTATAATTTAATTAAAAAACATTGACGTACCCAACCGTACTTGTACCCTACTTTTTAAAGAATTTTTCATATCAATGTACCTATATCCGTATCCGTATTTGTATCCGCACCTGTGCTTCATAGGTGGTACCACAAATTGCCTCTTTGAGTAGCCATATGAATGACTTTATAAGGTTTCATAGTTTGGCTTAGTTAGTGGGCATAAACTAATTCGAACCCAAATCTGGGTCTAAGGCCTTTTTGAGGGCACTTCTTGTTTTACCATAATCGTCTTCCGAGCAGCTTTGGACATTTCCCTTCTCTTCTCTATATGTATATGTGTGTGTGTACATATATATATCTAGACATATAGAATAAGATTTGTATATATAGATATAGAGGTTAAAATTTAATATTGAATAATGGAGCAAGGATTTTTAGGGTTTTCTCTTTCCAGTTAAATGTGGAGTTGAAAATTGCTTCTTTGAGTAGCCATATGAATGATTTTATAAGGTTTCATAGCTTAGCTTAGTTAGGGGACATAAATTGGTTTGGACCAAAATCTGGTCTTCGGCTAAGGCCTTTTTGAGGGGACTCTGTTTCACTATCAGTTGTCCTCTAAGTCACCTTGGACATTTTCCTTCTTCTGTTTCTCTATGTATGTGTGTGTACATATATACCTAGACATATAGAGCAAGATTTATATATATATGCACTAAAATTGCCTCCTGAATAACTGGATGGAGCGAGAATTTGTAATGTTTTCTGCTCTTTTTGAGTGGCCATATGAATGACTTTATTGGGTTTCATAACTTGGTTTAGGGGTTGTTTGGAATGTTATAAATAAGTGTAGTTGTTGACTTTTTATAAAATATGGGTTGGGTTTGAAATGATGTGGTAGAGAGTTGATGTGACTTAAATATGATGATATGACTTAAATAGGATAGTGACTTTTTAACTTTTTGATTTTTTTAGGACACCCCAAACAAGGTCTAAGTCATGGGGCATAAACTAATTCATACCCAAATTTGGGTCTGCTAACTAAGGCTTTTTTGAGGAGATACTATGATAGCGTTTGGTAGAGCTTTAGAATTATGATTGAAGAATAGAGTTGTATTTTGAGTTTGTGAGTTTTGGAATTATGATTTGAGTGTGAAAAATTTGTTTGGTTATGAGTTTTGAAAAGAGCTTTGAATTGAGTTTGAAATGAATGATGTGATATATGATATTTGATTCAAAAACTTACAACTCATAATTAAACACATAACCCAAAATTCTATTCAAAGCTTATAAGAAATTTTTAAAAAACAAAACCAAAGATATTTTTTATTTAAAATATAAAAATAACTGGTGCAAAAAAAAAAAAAAAAAAAAAACCGAACATTGGTCCGATCAACAGGTCGGATGTCCGGAGGGACATCCAGGTGGATGACCGGATAGATGAGTTTTCAAACGCAGGTGTGGAAATGATTTTTGAAACGCGGAACCAAACGTCACATTCAAATCAGTGGGTGGAATTATGATTTGAGAGCCCAACCAAACACAGCCTATGTTTTCCTCCAAACAACCTTGGCAATTTCTCTTCTCTTTCTGTGTGTGTGCGCGTGCGCGCGTGCAAGATTTATATCTATATATAGGTTAAACTTGCCTCCCAAATAACTCAATGGAGCAAGGATTTGTATGGTTCTATCTTTTCTGTTTAATGTTATGCTGCATATTGCCTTTTTGAGTAGCCATATGAATGACTTTATAGGGTTTCATAGCTTGGTTTAGTTAGGGGGCATAAACTAATTCAGACCCAAATTTGGGTCTTCAACTAAGGCCTTTTTGAGGGGACTCTATGTTTCACCACCATATTGTCCTCCAAAAAGACTTGGACATTTCCCTCTTCTCTTTTCATATTTAGATGTGTGCATGTGTACATATATATACCTAGACATATAGAACAAGGTTTACATAGATATATAGGTTAAAATTGCCTCTCGAATAACCGGACGGAGCATGTATACACAGTTGTCGTTCGGTCCAGACAAAGGCACAAAATGAGAGAGAGACTCTCTCCGAATCAATTTGAGGATAAGGAACTGTTCCATTTCTCTATTCCTTTCCTAGATTGCTTCGGATATATATATTTTCATCTGTAAAAAGTTTGTTCTTACTATATTTATTGTTGAACAATTGTAAAGGATACTTTATACATTCAATATCAAAATGATTTCTTACTCTACATTATATGAGTCTGTGAGAAATACATAGATTGGACTGGCCAATACTATAGTACTGTGATGCTTATTGATAGTAGTGAAGCTTATTGGAGGCATTTTCATGAGCCTTTAAGGCCGTCTCCCCCATTTACTCCTGTTTTTACTCAGATTTGAGTAAAAGCTTCATTTGATATAGTATGCTCCAATAGTCAAACTCAGATTTGAGTAAATGCATGGCAAGTGTTATAATTGTTAAATTTTGAAGTGGACATGTCACCACCACAAAGTTGTCTTTAGAAATTTGAGTAAAATAAGTCTCTTGATTTGAGTTAAAAATTGAGTATAACAAGTCTAAGCAAATGTTGGAGAGTTGTTTAAAGGTTTTACTCAAATTTAAATTTGATGGGTAGATGCACTTTCTCAAATCATGACTTTAGTTCAAATTTGAGTTAAAAACAGTCTAAACCAGTCTTCACTATTTCTCTCAAACCCATACTGAATTGGGTTTCTCATTTTTCACCCATATGAAGGGAGAACTTTTTGCAAACTCAAATCCTAACAGTAATATTTGGTGACATCCCAACATTATTTAATTACCCGTGTACCACCCCAGATGCTTTAACTGAAACTATAAAACTTATGTGACTTCAATTCTAGAACTGTTCCAGAAACAGCTCTGACATAGGATACTCGTGTGGTTTCTTTATGTTTATGATGTCTAATTCTCTATAAATTATTTCCCTAACTAAATTCCCATTTTTGCTTTCATGTGATGATCAAATTATCATTTCTTAAACTTGTATACTGATTACTTTCTTCCTTTTGTGATTCATTTCATTTGAATGCATTTGAAATAGAGTTATTCTTTTTATTTATTTTTTTCTGTTTTGGTAGTTGTCTTTATCTTGCCCCATCCCATTATTTTCATTTTTCTTCCTTTTTTTATTGTTTGTAACATCTTTACATTTGAGGTTCAGTATGTGTTTTTGCAATAATTTAAACTAATTAAATAAGATTCTTTAGTTCAAGTTGTCAGTTAATACTTTGACACTTTTGACTTGTTAAGTTTGGTTTTTTTAATTATTGAGTTCTAAATTCTAATGACTGACATGGTAGCTGCATATGTGCTCTTTGCACGTGTTTCTCTATTCCTTATGTTTTGTTTTAATTTCCATTTTCATTATGCTTTTCTCTTATTGTTGGAGCTGCAAAACAGGTTCAATTCTTTTGTTTATCTCTATGAGTCTCCCCCCTTTTGCCTAAATGAACTTGAAATTTTCTCTGTAAGTGTCACTAAAGTCTTTTCTATTGTAACTGATCCTTGTGTCTTTGATTCCTGTCCCCAACTTTGGTATGTGGCTTATATAATAATCTATCCATTTTTTCTTGATTTGTATAATTATTTAGTAGCTTATGTTTTCTCTTGCGACCTTCATGTGGGAATCAGAATTCTATTGCTTCCAAGGTGAAGCATGCTTTCAATGTTTTAGGTTTTGATATTTTTTATTACCTATTGAATGCTTTTATTGCCAATGATATATTGATTTGTTTGTTTAAAATCTGATGCTTTGAGTTTCTAACCTTGGAATATTGCATCATCTATGTCAGCTGTAAATGGGTGTGTGATATACATTTGTGAACTTCAACTTATACGCAAATGGAACTGGAGGTTTCAGTACCTTGACTCATTATTTTTTTACGCATTATTTTAGTATCAGTCTCTTGTCTAATTCTGATTGTTACAAGGCCACTGCTTATTTGCAATTCACACTGGGGCATATCAAATATTGTATGGTTATGAACTGGAGTACTATAAATTGTGCTTTTTTTTATCCAGCTTCATTAATTATAAAGCCTGTGAACCAATGGCGTACATGTTTGCATGTTTAAGTATTCTCAGGTGTTGTTATTCTTATGGTAAACAACAGAGGATCAACTGTTGTGAAATTTATGTTGAATCCCGGCCAGTTTAGCTTAGCTTATTAAATTCTGATATCTGGTCAAATATTCTACACACAAGACACTGATACTCTTCTTGCTTGACAGAGTGCAAGATGGCAGCAACATCCGCAACTACATTTTCAGTCAGATCAACCATGCCCTTAGGCTCCAAAGTGAGCCCAATTTCACAACCAAAGGCTTTTGGTGTGAGATTCAACTCCAAGAACTGTGTCAAGAACTTCAGTGGTCTCAAGGCAGCAACTTCCGGAAGCTGTGAATCAGACTCATCCTTCTTGGGCAAGGAAAGCAGTGCAGCTCTTAGAGACTCCTGCACACCAAAAGCTCAGAAACAATACCAGAGATCTTGGAAGAACCCTCAACCCCAGGCATCTTACAAAGTGGCAGTTCTTGGAGCAGCTGGGGGGATCGGTCAGCCACTAGCACTTTTGATCAAAATGTCCCCATTAGTTTCAAATCTTCGCCTTTACGATATAGCAAATGTCAAGGGAGTTGCTGCTGATCTCAGTCACTGCAACACCCCGTCTCAAGTTTTGGACTTCACAGGAGCTTCTGAGTTGGCCAATTGTCTCAAAGGTGTTAATGTGGTCGTCATCCCCGCTGGAGTTCCTAGGAAACCGGGTATGACCCGTGATGACCTCTTCAACATCAACGCCAACATAGTGAAGACCTTGGTTGAGGCTGTTGCTGATAACTGCCCCGATGCCTTCATCCACATCATCAGCAATCCAGTTAACTCTACGGTTCCCATTGCAGCAGAAGTTTTGAAGCAGAAGGGTGTTTATGATCCGAAGAAGCTCTTTGGTGTGACCACTCTAGATGTTGTGAGGGCAAACACGTTTGTCGCACAGAAGAAGAATTTGAAGCTTATTGATGTTGATGTCCCAGTTGTGGGTGGACATGCTGGAATTACTATTCTACCCCTTCTGTCAAAGACGAAGCCCTCTGTTAGTTTTACAGATGATGAAATACACGAGCTAACTGTGAGGATCCAAAATGCTGGGACAGAAGTTGTGGAAGCAAAGGCCGGTGCAGGGTCTGCTACCCTGTCGATGGCATATGCGGCTGCAAGATTTGTGGAGTCCTCTCTCCGTGCTCTTGATGGAGATAGCGATGTCTATGAGTGCTGTTTCATCGAGTCTGATTTGACTGAACTTCCATTCTTTGCATCAAGGGTCAAGCTAGGAAAGAAAGGGGTTGAGGCAGTGATTTCTTCGGACTTCCAAGGATTGACTGAGTATGAGCAAAAGGCTCTCGAAGCCCTCAAGCCGGAACTAAAGTCCAGCATTGAGAAGGGTATCGGGTTTGCACAGAAGCAAACGGTGGCTGCATAATAGTTGAATAGCTGAAACCACCCCAAAGAAAGAAGAATAATACTGTAGCAGAGATCAAATGCTGTTGAATCCATCGTTAACATGGGTATATTTCAGTTTTGTAGACAACTTGCGAAGCTTTTTTGCATTTACTCTTTTGTTGTGTTGAAGTACTTTTGTTTCGTTGATGCATTGTAACACCGATAATCTTGATGATATCTGTGGAAGAAATCTTTTATTTCCCTCTGCAGGTTGCTTTCTACTTTCAAGCAAGTGATGTGCTTTTTCTTTTTCATTTTTTTTTTAATTATTGTGTTTCATAAGTTTACAAATGGGGTTTAAGTTTTTGAATTCTTTGTCGTAAGCTTTTCAAGATGATGAACACAATTCAGCTGAAGACTTGTTCACTTCCTGTATTAGATTGGTGATTTTACTTTGTGCTCAGTTCTAGGGGCATTACTTGGATAGGCAAGCAGTGGTCAAATTCTCCAGATTGGGGAAAGCGTACACAAGCACAATATTGATGAGGGTCACAGGAAACATAAATAAAATTGAAAAAGAGAAAAATTGACATGACATTTGCCAACATAATCCAAATACAAACTCCCTACAATTGTCAACAAAGACTGGGCAAACCATTTCTTATCCGATTGAGGAATGAGACCAACATAACATTTAACTTGCGTGATTAAAAAAATTCAAGACTCGCAAATCCAGATGACCCCCGACATGTTTGGCACTCAAAATAGTCTACTGGATGGATGATCTGGGCTAGCTTCAGCGGTATCAAAGGTCTACGGACAGAAACAAGGCTGCAACTGATGACGAGCTCCACTTTATGAACCTACATACTCCATCAATTCATAATTTGGTGTCTACAGATCCTCTTGTATTTACCATTGCCTGGAAATTGAATTACTTCTCTGTATACTTTAGACAATTATTGCCTGCTTCAGATAATTATCCCACAAGATCCATTGGGCTTCCAAACACTGGATAATAATGGAAGTTCATTTGCATTAACAAACTGCCTGGGTGGAAGGAGCAATCTTGCCAGGGTAGTTCAATATGTTTCCCTTCAGTGTTTCTCTGGCACCTAGATCAGAGGCCCGGGTAACTAACCCAAAAGCGAGTGATGTCTCAAATCCACACGAAAATCCCTTTTCTACCAATAGTCATTGCAGGAGCAGTGCCCTTCTCGGAAATGATGAAACCTGGTGCGATCTCTAATAATAACCTCACGGTTATAAACCCCAGAAAGCACTTTTGCAAAATTGTGGCAATCAACACAAGTCCGGAGATTTTTCGCCACTCTAATTGTCGTACCCGGTGGAGTTGCAAGAACGCCAAAAGCGATGGCCAACTTCTCACTGTGATAAGATAGTATAGTTTCCTTTTCGTCAGCACCCAAATTATGCAACTCAGATGTTACTTCAGCGATATAACCGCCAATTTTCAGTTGCATTCCAATCTCATCCAACATCTCATAAATCTCATTCTTTCGTGGATGTGAAATATCATCGACAACAAACTCATGTACTACTCCTTTCAATTCAACTGTACTACATCCCGGTGTGGTTTGGATTCCTTTCTCTTTCATCAATTTTCTCACTTCTATCACTTTCTCCCAATCGTCAACAGAAGAATAAATATTCAACAACAGAATATAATCCCCTGCTTCTTGTGCTTTGAGTTCAATCAAATGTTCGATAATGCGTTCTCCGAGGGTAACGTGACAGTGAATCCTACAAGCTCCAAGCAAAGTCCTCCACATTGTAGCATCTGGCTTAACAGCCATTGAAAGAATAAGATCATAGGCCTGGTTAAGCAAACCAGCACGACCCAAGAGGTCAACCATGCAACCATAATGATGGACATTGGGCATTATCCTAAATTCTTTACTCATAGAATTGAAAAACATCCAACCTTCATCAACAAGCCCAGAGTGACTACAAGCAGAAAGAACCCCTGTAAACGTTTGATCATCAGGCACAATACCCATTCTCTGCATCTCCCTAAATGCTTCAATAGCTTCTTTTCCATGTCCATTACTTGCTAAACCCGAAATCATTGCACTCCAAGAAACCACATCTTTATTAGGCATGAACTTAAACACCTCGTAAGCCTTATCAACACATCCACATCGCGAATACATTGCTATAAGAGAATTGCATAGATTGAGAGCATTTCCATATCCATGTACTCGAATAAAACTATGAACCCGCTCGCCAAATTCCAATGCACCTAAATTGGCACAAGCCTGAAGTACAAGCAGACAAGTAACATCATCAGGTTGAGAACCACAGCGCGACCTCTGCATTGTATCAAACACACCCAAAGCATCCCGGGTTCGACCATTACGAGTGTAGCAAGAAATCAAGACATTCCAAGCAACAGTATCTCTGTGAGACATTTCATCAAACACCTTACAAGCATCATCACACTTCTGACAAATTGAATACAAATCCATCAGAGTAGTCATCAAAAGACTATCAGATTGGTGCCCATCACTCAAAATCTTAGCATGAACTTGCAAACCACCCAATAACGAATTCATTCTAATACAAGACTTGGTTACAAAGGAAGAAGATAATGGGTCAGGGCTTATACCATTTCGTCGCATTTCTCGGTAAAATTTGAAGCTTTCCTCAGGAGAATTACTCAATGAGTAAACTCTGATCATATTGTTGTAATGAGAGATATTGGGCTTCGGAATTTGAGAGAAAAATCGAAGGGAATAGCTCAGATTGCGGGACGGAGAGAGAGCGATGTGGGTCAAGAAGGCGAGAGAAATGATGGGGGACTGGAGGAGAGATGTTCGGAGGAGATGGGCATGGATTTGAACCAAATGGGTATTTCTTGAACATGATTTTATGAGAGAAATAAATGGTTTTTCTCTGTGGGAACATGTGGAGAGGTGTTGGGTATGGTGAGAATGTTGTTGCAGTGCTTCTTCGAAGGTGGGTTGGTGAAGGTGAAAGCGAGAAGATGATGATGAGAAGAAACGAGGGGAGAGATGGAAATGAAAATTGAAGTGAGAGAGAGGAGAAGGGTGAGAGAGAGGAGAAGGGTGTGAGCGAAGGATATGTAAAATTGCTCTCATTGACTGACACTCTGTTTTTGCATCTCAGTTGAGTCTCGAATCTATAACTTCCAGTAATGATTCCAAACATTTTCCTATAACCTTGGCTTCCAATTCCAACGTCCAAATTTGGAACAAACAACACTTGACATACTTGCACTTCTTTTTCTCAAGCGAAATTACAAATGGTTTTGATTTATTTTGGAGAGCCTTCAATCTTTACCATAAAAAAAATTAACTTGATTTCATAATTTTAATATCTTTATTTTATTATAATTTTTTTTCTAAAAAATTGATTGGTTTATTTGAAAAATATATGATACTGGATTGAACTAATTTTTTTCATAAATTATATAAATTGGTGGCTTTACAAAATGAATAATTTGAATTATCAAAACAGGACCTGTGATGAATTCTACAAACGAAAGGCTTAAGCAGCGAATCAGAATAATCGTCTGGTAGATTCGCCAAAAAAAAGAAAGAAAGTATAGTTCGTAGATTCGCCAAAAAAAAGAAAGAAAGTATAGTTCGTAGTCTCCTTTGAGGCCTTACGGCGGAGATATCAACCCGGGACACAGAGAGGAGGGGAGAGAGTGTTTTTGTCTTTTTGACTCTAATCTCACTCGAAAATTTTCTCATTTATTTTCCAATTTGCTCGATTTGATTGAGATCTGTGAAAGGTAATTGCTTCTTTTTTTTTCCCTGTATAATCTTTGTAGATTTTGATCTATATTTCTTCAAATTTGTATCATAAATGTGATTTTTGTATATTTGTACATTCGGATTTATGATTATCGTTTATCAGTTTGTTCTTATCGATTTTTTGTTTTGAATTGCACATTTTGATGTGATTTTTTTCTTTTTCTTTTCTATTTATTGGATTTGTGAAGTTTAACTTTTCTGCTAGTTATATAATCTATATTTACAGTTTGCTGATATGGTTGTTGTTGATGCATATGATGATGATTTTGAGGTTTATAGTTTTAAAGTTTTAGATTTTTCTTCAAGACAAACACAGATTAATGCCGTTACCTAAGTTTGATTATTAATAAATATAGAATTGAACTATCAAAGTAGGTTGGCTGGAGTGGAGTAGTGTTTTTTGCGTATTATTATATTATATATCAATACCTACAAAATTTAAAGGAAAATTTTATACAATAAGGTGAATGATGCTTTATGGGACAAAAAAATATATATATTTCCCATTATAATGAAAAACCTATTGCAAAGTCTACTATGTATGCCCAATGCCATAATAATTGCTCCCTTTTATTTGTATTCAAATTTCAGTGCTTTGCTTCTCTATTACTCATGGATTGCCCAAGTCAAATTAAGCTTTGATGGAAATATTTTAGATGCCCTTTGATCGTGCGACTGGATTACATGGGACTATTAGTCTCGACCATCTCGTGATTAATAATTATGGGATCATCAATCTCATAGAATTATGTATCATATCTCACGTTTAGAATACCTTTGAATTAGGAAGAAGATTAGTAATCTCACGTTTATATGGAATCACTTGGACTACATGGAGTAATAACCATAGTTTGAGGATATTTTGGTTAAAAACCCCCTAATCTGGATCTCTTTGAACCTCCCATTTTGTATCTCACCCCTCCATTGGACTCAGTAGTCCAAATATGGAGATATACAGTTTGAGGAACTGTTAATCTTAAGGCTCACTTTTGATCCAAACGTCAGATTTGGATTGGCACGACACATATTTTGCTTGACATGGCAATGTCTCTTTCCTTGTGACTAGATGCATGCGTACTCTACTACTGCTTGTGTGGTAATTCGTCAACAACAAAGAGGAGTTTTTTTTTTCCTTTTAAAGAATTTTAAGGCAGAAATGTTACTCAAATTAAAGCCCTAGGTAATTCTCTCTCTAGCAGCCCTCCAATAAGCACCTTTGGTAATTCTCTCTTTCTGTCTCTTATCGGGTTTTCACTTTTCTGTTTAATGTGGTGTTGCAGATTTGCCCTTTTGAGTAGCCATGTGAATGACTTTATAAGGTTTCATAGCTTGGCTTAGTTAGGGGGCATAAACTAATTTGGAACCAAATATGGTCCTCGACCACGACTTTTTTTGTAGGACTCTTTGTTTCACCATCAATTGTTTCCCAAGTAGCTTTGGACATTTCCCTTCTCTTTCTGTATTTGTATGTGTGTGTGTGTACATGTATGTACGTAAACATATAGAACAAGATTTATATATATGTGTGTTAAAATTGCCTCCCGAATAACCGAACGGAACAAGGATACACAGTCGCCGTTCGGTCCAGACAGACGCACAAACTAAAGAGAGAGAGAAAAAATCTCTCAGACTCTCTCCGAATCAGTTTGAGGGTAAGGAACTGTTACCTTTCTCTGTTCCTTTGTTAAATTGCTTCGGATATAAGTATAATAATTTTATTCTTATTATATTTGTTATATTTATTTTCATTAAATTTATTTTTAATCAATTTTAAAGGCTTTTTACACATTCAATATCAAAATTGTTTATACCTACACTATATGCATCATTGAGAAATGTATAGGTTGGACTGGCCAGTACTTTAGTACTGTGATGGTAATTTATGGTAATGGAGCTTGTTGGAGTCTTTGCCATGAGCCTTTTAGGTCATGTACAGCCTTGACTCCTATTTTTATTGGTAGTAAAGTTATTCTGTTTTTTTTTTTTTTCCTTTTTTTGGTCCTGTTCTGGTTTTTCTTGTACCATCAGTTTCAGTTTTTTTTTTTTTTTCCCTTTTTTGATTGTTTGTAACATTTGTACATCTGAGGTTCATTTTGTGTTTTTACAATAATTTAAACTGATTGAATAATATTCTTTAGTTCAAGTGGTTAATACATCAATTTTTTGACAAATAAGTTCATTTTTGTGAATTTTTATATCTAAATTCTAATTAATGACATGGTAGCTGAATATGTGCTGATTGCGTGTATAGTCCAGCCCACTTTTGTGTCCAAACGTGGTTTTCAAGATTGGCCATGATACATAATCTAATCTCATGACCCTATCCCCTTGAACAAAAACAGCCTTTGTGTTTATATGAATATTTAAGTGGAGTTGAGTTGATAACAAACTTGTAGTATAGTGGTGGTGAGTATTCATGTATCATGCAAATGACTTGGGTTCAATTAGTGCTATTGAAAGCGATAAGCGCACCAAGGCGCCAAGGGCTCTTGAGGCCTTAGGCCTTAGGCGCAAGGCGCAAGGCGAGGCGCGGGCTTTATCGAAGTAAGGCGCACCATGGCAAGTTAAAATAATATAATTTAATATGAGACATATAAGCAAATAACTAGCTAGTAGAACATAAACAAAATGCAATATTGAACATTTTAAAAAATAAATACCAACAAATATCGCAATTTAACATAGACAAATGAGTATAAGCATGCATTTCAAAACACAAAACGCGAATATCCATAATCTAAAGGTCAACTAATAACAATATTTCAAGTTTAAGCATGCATTTCAAAACATCAACAAATTAAACCAACAAGAAAAAAAAAAAAAAGCCCTCAAGGCCTGCGCCTTGGGCTTAAATGCGCCTAACTCGAGGCGTGCGCTTTAATCGCGCCTTAGTGAAATCGCCTCGCCTTGACCACTGCAAGGCGGAAAGGGTGGGCATGGCTGGGCTTTGCGCCTAGGCGCGCTTTTAATAACACTGGGTTCAATCCATGACGACGGCGTTATCATTTTTATATTTTTTTTACATGGCAACATGACTCTGCACGTGACTGGATGTGCTCTATTACTGCTTGTGATACAAATGATTTTGTTGAACAACAAATAGGTTTTTGGCCTTTTCAATTATTTTTAAGCAAAAATGTCGCGCAACTTAAAAGTGTAGGTAATTCTCTCTGTAGCAGCTCCTCCAGTAAGGCCCTTTGTTTATTCTCTCTCTCTTTGTCTCTCTCTCTCTCACGCCCACTCCGGGTTTTCTCTATTTTGCTTTATGTGGTACCCTATGAAGCATGAATACTCCAAAAATGGTTTCGTACGAGTACCGGGTACTTACTGGGTGTGGGTATGCGTACCGGTACGGTAGTACGCATACCAGGTACGCCGAATACATGCCGGGTACGGCAAATACATTTTGGTATGGCGAGGTGATTTTTTTTTTTTTTTTTTTTTGCAGCTGTTAAAATTTATTGCAGCATTTATTATTCTTTTTTCAATTTTGAAAATATTAAATAATTTATTTCCAACACCCTTTATCCGTGAGTCATGGTTTTACTCTATTTTGCATCCTGTTTTAGACAATCAAAAAAGAAAAAGAAAGTATTATATAACTGTTTAGACAAATTATTCTCTTTTCAGTTTTGATATTAAAACTTTGATTTGTATGCTGGATGTTTAGCTATAATTTAATTAAAAAACATTGACGTACCCAACCGTACTTGTATCCTACTTTTTAAAGAATTTTTCATATCGATGTACCTATATCCGTATCCGTATTTGTATCCGCACCTGTGCTTCATAGGTGGTACCACAAATTGCCTCTTTGAGTAGCCATATGAATGACTTTATAAGGTTTCATAGTTTGGCTTAGTTAGTGGGCATAAACTAATTCGAACCCAAATCTGGGTCTTCAACTAAGGCCTTTTTTAGGGGACTTCTTGTTTTACCATAATTGTCTTCCGAGCAGCCTTGGACATTTCCCTTCTCTTCTCTATATGTATATGTGTGTGTGTACATATATATATCTAGACATATAGAATAAGATTTGTATATATAGATATAGAGGTTAAAATTTAATATTGAATAACGGAGCAAGGATTTTTAGGGTTTTCTCTTTCCAGTTAAATGTGGAGTTGAAAATTGCTTCTTTGAGTAGCCATATGAATGATTTTATAAGGTTTCATAGCTTAGCTTAGTTAGGGGACATAAATTGGTTTGGACCAAAATCTGGTCCTCGGCTAAGGCCTTTTTGAGGGGACTCTGTTTCACCATTAGCTGTCCTCTAAGCCACCTTGGCCATTTTCTTTCTTCTGTTTCTCTATGTATATGTGTGTGTACATATCTACCTAGACATATAGAGCAAGATTTATATATATATGCACTAAAATTGCCTCCTGAATAACTGGATGGAGCGAGGATTTGTAATGTTTTCTGCGCTTTTTGAGTGGCCATATGAATGACTTTATTGGGTTTCATAGCTTGGTTTACGGGTTGTTTGGAATGTTATAAATAAGTGTACTTTTTGACTTTTTATAAAATATGGGTTGGGTTTGAAATGATGTGGTAGAGAGTTGATGTGACTTAAATATGATGATATGACTTATATAAGATAGTGACTTAGTGACTTTTTAACTTTTTGACTTTTTTAGGACACCCCAAACAAGGCCTAAGTTATGGGACATAAACTAATTCATACCCAAATTTGGGTCTACTGACTAAGGCTTTTTTGAGGAGATACTATGATAGCGTTTGGTAGAGCTTTAGAATTATGATTTAAGAATAGAGTTGTGTTTTGAGTTTGTGAGTTTTGAAATTATGATTTGAGTGTGAAAAATTTATTTGGTTATGAGTTTTGAAAAGAGTTTTGAATTGAGTTTGAAATGAATGATCTGATATATGATATTTGATTCAAAAACTTACAACTCATAATCAAACACACAACCCAAAATTCTATTCAAAGCTTATAAGAAATTTTTTAAAAAAAATCCAAAGATATTTTTTATTTAAAATATAAAAATAACAGGTGCAAAAAAAAAAAAAAACGAACATTGTTCCGATCAACAGGCCGGACGTCCGGGGGGACATCCAGGTGGATGACCGGATATACGAGTTTTCAAACGTAGGTATGGAAATGATTTTTGAAACGCGGAACCAAACGTCACATTCAAATCAGTGGGTGGAATTATGATTTGAGAGCCCAACCAAACACAGCCTATGTTTTCCTCCAAACAACCTTGGCAATTTCTCTTCTCTTTCTCTGTGTGTGTGTGTGTGTGTGCGCGCGCGCGCGCAAGATTTATATAGATATATAGGTTAAACTTGCCTCCCAAATAACTCAATGGAGCAAGGATTTGTATGGTTCTATCTTTTCTGTTTAATGTTATGCTGCATATTGCCTCTTTGAGTAGCCATATGAATGACTTTATAGGGATTCATAGCTTGGTTTAGTTAAGGGGCATAAACTAATTCAGACCCAAATTTGGGTCTTCAACTAAGGCCTTTTTGAGGGGACTCTATGTTTCACCACCATATTGTCCTCCAAACAGACTTGGACATTTCCCTCTTCTCTTTTCATATTTAGATGTGTGCATGTGTACATATATATACCTAGACATATAGAACAAGGTTTACATAGATATATAGGTTAAAATTGCCTCTCGAATAACCGGACGGAGCATGTATACACAGTTGTCGTTCAGTCCAGACAAAGGCACAAAATGAGAGAGAGACTCTCTCCGAATCAATTTGAGGATAAGGAACTGTTCCATTTCTCTATTCCTTTCCTAGATTGCTTCGGATATATATATTTTTTCATTTGTAAAAATTTTGTTCTTACTATATTTATTGTTGAACAATTGTAAAGGATACTTTATGCATTCAATATCAAAATGATTTCTTCCTCTACATTATATGGATCAGTGAGAAATACATAGATTGGACTGGCCAATACTATAGTACCGTGATGCTTATTGATAGTAGTGAAGCTTATTGGAGGCATTTTCATGAGCCTTTAAGGCCGTCTCCCCCATTTACTTCTGTTTTTACTCAGATTTGAGTAAAAGCTTCATTTGATATAGTATGCTCCAATAGTCACACTCAAATTTGAGTAAATGCTTGCCAAGTGTTATGATTGTTAAATTTTGAAGTGGACATGTCACCACCACAAAGTTGTCTTTAGAAATTTGAGTAAAATAAGTCTCTTGATTTGAGTTAAAAATTGAGTATAACAAGTTTAAGAAAATGTTGGAGAGAGTTGTTTAAAGGTTTTACTCAAATTTAAATTTGATGGGTAGATGCACTTTACTCAAATCATGACTTTAGTTCAAATTTGAGTTAAAAACAATCTAAACCAGTCTTCACTATTTCTCTCAAACCCATACTGAATTGGGTTTCTCATTTTTCACCCACATGAAGGGAGAACTTTTTGCAAACTCAAATCCTAACAGTAATATTTGGTGACATGCCAACATTATTTAATTACCCGTGTACCACCCCAGATGCTTTAACTGAAACTATAAAACTTATGTGACTTCAATTCTAGAACTGTTCCAGAAACAGCTCTGAAATAGGATACTCGTGTGGTTTCTTGATGTTTATGATGTCTAATTCTCTGTAAATTATTTCCCTAACTAAATTCCCATTTTTGCTTTCATGTGATGATCAAATTATCATTTCTTAAACTTGTATACTGATTACTTTCTTCCTTTTGTGATTCATTTCATTTGAATGCATTTGAAATAGAGTTATTCTTTTTATTTATTTTTTTCTGTTTTGTAGTTGTCTTTATCTTGCCCCATCCCATTATTTTCATTTTTCTTATCCTTTTTTTATTGTTTGTAACATCTTTACATTTGAGGTTCAGTATGTGTTTTTGCAATAATTTAAACTGATTAAATAAGATTCTTTAGTTCAAGTTGTCAGTCAATACTTTGACACTTTTGACTTGTTAAGTTTGGTTTTTTTAATTATTGAGTTCTAAATTCTAATGACTGACATGGTAGCTGCATATGTGCTCTTTGCACGTGTTTTTCTATTCCTTATGTTTTGTTTTAATTTCCATTTTCATTATGCTTTTCTCTTATTGTTGGAGCTGCAAAACAGGTTCAATTCTTTTGTTTATCTCTATGAGTCTCCCCCCTTTTACCTAAATGAACTTGAAATTTTCCTTGTAAGTGTCACTAAAGTCTTTTCTATTGTAACTGATCCTTGTGTCTTTGATTCCTATCCCCAACTTTGGTATGTGGCTTATATAATAATCTATCCATTATTTCTTGATTTGTATAATTATTTAGTAGCTTATGTTTTCTCTTGCGACCTTCATGTGGGAATCAGAATTCTATTGCTTCCAAGGTGAAGCATGCTTTCAATGTTTTAGGTTTTGATATTTTTTATTACCTATTGAATGTTTTTATTGCCAATGATATATTGATTTGTTTGTTTAAAATCTGATGCTTCGAGTTTCTAACCTTGGAATATTGCATCATCTATGTCAGCTGTAAATGGGTGTGTGATATACATTTGTGAACTTCAACTTATACGCAAATGGAACTGGAGGTTTCAGTACCTTGACTCATTATTTTTTTACGCATTATTTTAGTATCAGTCTCTTGTCTAATTCTGATTGTTACAAGGCCACTGTTTATTTGCAATTCACACTGGGGCATATCAAATATTGTATGGTTATGAACTGGAGTACTATAAATTGTGCTTTTTTTTATCCAGCTTCATTAATTATAAAGCCTGTGAACCAATGGCGTACATGTTTGCATGTTTAAGTATTCTCAGGTGTTGTTATTCTTATGGTAAACAACAGAGGATCAACTGTTGTGAAATTTATGTTGAATCCCGGCCAGTTTAGCTTAGCTTATTAAATTCTGATATCTGGTCAAATATTCTACACACAAGACACTGATACTCTTCTTGCTTGACAGAGTGCAAGATGGCAGCAACATCCGCAACTACATTTTCAGTCAGATCAACCATGTCCATAGGCTCCAAAGTGAGCCCAATTTCACAACCAAAGGCTTTTGGTGTGAGATTCAACTCCAAGAACTGTGTCAAGAGCTTCAGTGGTCTCAAGGCAGCAACTTCCGGAAGCTGTGAATCAGACTCATCGTTCTTGGGCAAGGAAAGCAGTGCAGCTCTTAGAGACTCCTGCACACCAAAAGCTCAGAAACAATACCAGAGATCTTGGAAGAACCCTCAACCCCAGGCATCTTACAAAGTGGCAGTTCTTGGAGCAGCTGGGGGGATCGGTCAGCCACTAGCACTTTTGATCAAAATGTCCCCATTAGTTTCAAATCTTCGCCTTTACGATATAGCAAATGTCAAGGGAGTTGCTGCTGATCTCAGTCACTGCAACACCCCGTCTCAAGTTTTGGACTTCACAGGAGCTTCTGAGTTGGCCAATTGTCTCAAAGGTGTTAATGTGGTCGTCATCCCCGCTGGAGTTCCTAGGAAACCGAGTATGACCCGTGATGACCTCTTGAACATCAACGCCAACATAGTGAAGACCTTGGTTGAGGCTGTTGCTGATAACTGCCCCGATGCCTTCATCCACATCATCAGCAATCCAGTTAACTCTATGGTTCCCATTACAGCAGAAGTTTTGAAGCAGAAAGGTGAGTTCCTAGGAAACCGGGTATGACCCGTGATGACCTGTTCAACATCAACGCCAACATAGTGAAGACCTTGGTTGAGGCTGTTGCTGATAACTGCCCCGATGCCTTCATCCACATCATCAGCAATCCAGTTAACTCTACGGTTCCCATTGCAGCCGAAGTTTTGAAGCAAAAGGGTGTTTATGATCCGAAGAAGCTCTTTGGTGTCACTACTCTAGATGTTGTGAGGGCAAGCACGTTTGTCGCACAGAAGAAGAATTTGAAGCTTATTGATGTTGATGTCCCACTTGTGGGTGGACATGCTAGAATTACTATTCTACCCCTTCTGTCAAAGACAAAGCCCTCTGTTAGTTTCACAGATGATGAAATACACGAGCTAACTGTGAGGATCCAAAATGCTGGGACAGAAGTTATGAAAGCAAAGGCCGGTGCAGGGTCTGCTACCCTGTCGATGGCATATGCGGCTGCAAGATTTGTGGAGTCCTCTTTCCATGCTCTTGATGGAGATAGCGATGTCTATGAGTGCTGTTTCATCGAGTCTGATCTGACTGAACTTCCATTCTTTGCATCAAGGGTCAAGCTAGGAAAGAAAGGGGTTGAGGCAGTGATTTCTTCGGACTTCCAAGGATTGACTGAGTATGAACAAAAGGCTCTGGAAGCCCTCAAGCCGGAACTAAAGTCCAGCATTGAGAAGGGTATCGGGTTTGCACAGAAGCAAATGGTGGCTGGATAATAGTTGAATAGCTGAAACCACCCCGAAGAAAGAAGAATAATGCTGTAGCAGAGATCAAATGTTGTTGAATCCATTGTTAACATGGGTATATTTCAGTTTTGTAGACAACTTGTGAAGTTTTTTTGCATTTACTCTTTTGTTGTGTTGAAGTACTTTTGTTTCGTTGATGCATTATAACACTGATAATCTTGATGATATCTGTGGAAGAAATCTTTTATTTCCCTCTGCAGCTTGCTTTCTACTTTCAATCAAGTGATGTGCTTTTTTATTTTTTATTTTTTTTTAATTATTGTGTTTCATAAGTTTACAAATGGGGTTTAAGTTTTTGAATTCTTTGTCGTAAGCTTTTCAAGATGATGAACACAATTCAGCTGAAGACTTGTTCACTTCCTGTATTAGATTGGTGATTTTACTTTGTGCTAAGTTCTAGTGGCATTACTTGGGTAGGCAAGCAGTGGTCAAATTCTATTAACACAACCTTCTACTCGTCTTCGTAATTATATCATTGGTTCCACTGCTTTTTCTACTCATGAACCTACCTCCTATTGTGAGGCTTGCTCTAATCCTCTTTGGCAGCATGCTGTGACTGATGAATTGCAGGCTGTAGACAAAACTCATACTTGGGACATTGTTGATCTTCCTTTTGGCAAGACTGCCATTGGCTGCAAATGGGTGTACAAAATCAAGGCACACTCTGAAGGCTCTATTAAAAGATACAAAGCCTGCCTTGTTACTAAAGGCTTCAACCAGGAATATGGTATTAATTATGAGGAGACCTTTGCTCCTATTGAATGTTTCACCGCTGTTCGTAGCTTGATTGCTGTTGCTGCCACCCGTCAATGGGACCTTTATCAAACAGACGTGAAAAATGCATTCCTTAATGGTGATCTTCTAGAGGAGGTCTACATGCAACCTCCCCTTAGGTCTACTTATCCGCCTCATAAGGTATGTAGACTTCAACGTGCATTATATGGTTTTAAGCAAGCCCCGCAAGCTTGGTTTGCCAAGTTCAGCTCTACAATTCATGATTGTGGTTTCACCTCCAATTTTTATGATACTACTCTTTTTGTGAGGAAAACTGCTCAAGGTACCACCCTACTTCTGCTTTATGTGGATGACATGATTATCACTGGTGATGATGTGGATGGTATTCTTCGCCTCAAATAGTTTCTTAGCCATCATTTCGAGATGAAAGATCTTGGTCCTCTTAGTTATTTCTTGAGTCTTGAAATCTCTCATGATTCCATAGGTTCGTTTCTCTCTCAAGCTAAGTATACCTTCGATCTTCTCGTTCGTGCTGGTCTTATAGATTACAAGACTGCCTTCACTCCATTAGAGACTCAGAGTCATCTTACTTCTCTTGATGGCAATCTATTCTCTGATGCTACTATGCATCGTCAACTGATTGGCAGCCTTATCTATCTCACTGTTACTCGTCCTGACATCGCTTATGTTGTCCATATTGTCAGCCAGTATATGTCGGCTCCTCATATACCTTATTATGATGTTTTAGTTCGTATCCTTTGCTATCTCAAAGGCACCTTGTTTTATGGTCTTCATTATTCCGCCTGCTCATCTCTTCAGTTTCGTGCCTTCTCCAATGCTGATTGGGCTGGGGATCCTATTGACCGCCGCTCTAATTCAGGTTTCTGCTTCTTCTTAGGCGATTCTCTTATTTCTTGGCACAGCAAGAAACAATCTCTTACTACTCGTTTAAGTACAGAAGCTGAATACCATGCTCTTGCTGATACTACTCAGAAGCTTCTCTGGCTTCGTTGGCTTCTTACTGATATGGATGTTACCCCTTCTGGTGCTACTAACCTCTATTGTGATAATCAGATTGCTATTCAAATTGCTCATAATGATGTTTTTCATGATCGCACCAAGCACATTGAGATTGACTACCATTTTATTTGTAATGACCCTCACCACTGATTACCGTTAAACATTGATTACCGATAACTGAACTGATTATGACTGATAACTGAACTGATCATGACTGATAATCGAACTGAATGAAATACTGAACTGACTGACCGAAATTGGAAATTGAATTGATTGAGTATATGTTAGTTCGGGTTTGGGCTGTGACATTATTCGTCAACATGTCACTCATGGTACTGTTCATCTACATCCGATCTTTTCTGTTGATCAACCTGCTGATATCTTCACCAAAGCTCATTCTCCTGGCCACTTCATTGAACTTGTTTCCAAACTCAAGTTGGTTGATGTTTATCCTCCTTGAGTTTGAAGAGGCCTGTTAATGTATATCTATATAATGTTTAATATATATCTCTATGTTTAGGTAGTTGTTAATCTATAGACCATGTATATCTATATAGATAGATACGTATGTATGTTTAGATAGCTATGATTTCTCCTATATAAAGGAGACCATGTACATTGGTTTGATATAATACATTTTATATAAAGACTCTCTCTCTCTCTCTCAACTTGTTTAACAATGCTCATGACTTTGTTTCATATGTCATGCAACTACATGTCAATGACATTTGGAGATTGGCGAGCTTGGTATATGTTTATGGTCGTAGCAAAAATTACTTTCTGTTCTTATTTGAGCATGAGCATGACATGCATCGTATAATGGCAAATGGTCTGTATGCTATTGAAGGAGCATTATTTATTGTTGATTATTAAAAACTAGATATGGTGATTGATCAGCTGGTTATGGATCGAATGGCAGTGTGGGTACGGTTGTTTGGACTACCCTTGGAAAGTTTTACAGAGGAGGCCAGCTTTCGGCTGGGTAGAGCCATTGGAGATGTTAGAAACTGGCCGCCCATGTGGCTTGACCCTTCTTTGAACCTTTTGAACCTTATCCAAATAAGTTTTGAATTTGAATTCAAAACCTATTTGGATAACCACTCAGGATATTGTATATATCTGATATAACTGATATGGATAAATGAGATAAAAAAATTATATATCTGATAATATGGGATATGGGTGATTAAAAGAAAAACAACGTATGTTTGAGTTTTTCCTATATACTGACTCTCTCCCAAAAACCAACGATCAAGAGCCATTTCGCACTGTGACTTGATATTCATTTTGTAATATCACTCCACTGCTAGGTTGATTGATCAAATTCAGGAAGCACGTGATTTACCCACGAGGTTCTATCATCTAAAGGTATGATCTAAATATTTTATCCGCTGCATTTTTATACTTTGATTTACATTGGTATCAGAGCCAATATGGGTATTTTCGTGCTTATTTTTATGCATTAAAATATGTGTATATTTTTATATAAATATATATACATGATATATGCGTGAATATTAATGGAGGAGGAAGATGAAGTGCATGGTTTTTTGCACTTCAACTCCATTAGATTGAGAGAGTGATACACCTCATTTTTATGTTCATTAAATGTCATTTTTAATGTCATAAATGTTTTTATTGTGAAAAATGGAGTCCGGCAGTACAAAAATCGAACCAGAAAACACCCTGGAAGGCGGAGCGTAGGCCTCACGCGCCACCTGACGCCATGGGTGGCTTCCACGCGCCTCCACGTGCTGCCACGCCCTTGCACGCGCCAGATACGATTTAGACGCGCTTCCACGGGTCGTCACGGGCGCGTCAGCCGCGCTGTCCACGTGCACGCCCTCTGCGCTACACGCGCGCGCCGCGTGCTGAGCCGCGCCGTTTTCCTCTGTCAGCTTGGCTGGCTTGGCTGCTGATGCATAAGGCACTGTTTGTTTTGTTTTTTAATTCTGAATCGCGTTAAATGGCCATAATTTATTCGTTATAGCTTTGTTTTAAGCATGGTTGGTTCCGTTAGACTCATAATTAAATTTTATATCTTTTGTAAAATTTTGAAAATTTTATGAAAAGAAAAAATATTTTTCCTGAAATAATAATTCATTATTTCTACTTTAAAATGCATCTGTTGTTGCATGATTAAGTTTCTGGGGTTGAATTTTTTATTGTAAACCACTATAATGGTTTAATATTTACTGGTATAGTTTTTGCATTTTACCAGATTCTGAAATATTTATTTCTAATTTGATGTGTGTTTATTAGTTATTTAAAATTCCAAAAAAATTCAGAAAAATTTCAGAAAAATTTCAGAAAATTTCATAATGATGTACATTATGTTATGGCATAATTTGAATATTAAATACAGCATATTGTTTTTTTAGAGTTTCTAATATGTTGTAATTAGAATAGCATGATTAATTGTTATTTGTTTAAATTCCATTGTTAATTGTGACATAGCATGAGTTGGTTGTGAATCTACATTCAGTGGGAGGTTATTCGGTAGAGAGAAATCTTTGTAGATTAACTCCTGAAAACCAATATTTTGCGCAAAAATTAAATTAAATTTTGGATAATTGCCACCTGTGGCGCAAGAGATGATTACGAGCATAGCAGATTTTCGATCTTGCGACTTGTGTAATATTGTCACTATTTAATTTAGATTTTTGTGGCAAAATTATATTATGCTAATCAAATTAATCCCAATGGGAATTTCTCTCTAAATTGACTTAGCTTATGAAAGTTAATTGGTTGACCTAGACTTAGTAGAGATGTTCAAATATGAACAATGTAATCCTATTCTTTAGATGAGCAAAAGTCTTGGAGATTTTAGGTCAGACCTTAATTGAGCCAAAGTAAGGAAACATGACTCAAAGTCGCCATGGTTTTGTTGCCTTATTTGGCACAATAAAAACTAATGTGTGGGCTATCGTTAGCGGCATGCTACGTAGTTTTGGTTGGCGAGTTTTGCAGTTATGAAATTATTAAGCCCTCAATAGATCTGTATATGATCTTGACTATTCAGCTGCGCGGATTGACTTTTAATGATGTTGCATCATTGGATGAAGTAACATTCAAGAGTCACGTCATCCAAGAAATGCGAGCTTAAATGAATTAGTCATTAAGTGTAAGATAAGTAGCCAGTATGAGCAGTGTTTTGCTCTTTATCCAACTGTTGGGATTGGATGGAGCAAAATTTCATGCACTATAATAATTTGCATTGAAGTATCATTTGAAGTTAA